AGATAGCCCTCGTGTAGCTTTGCGCGAAATTCAAAAACAAACAAACAAACTATTATATCTTTAAGTTACAAAATGGTTATATGAAGTTCAGTTTATCATCAAGTCATTTCTAGAGCTAAAGGTTCTGTTAGTGACAGTTTCAGTTTTTGTGTTTTACAAATGTGTCCTGTGCACATGCACACACAAACATATTGGAAGGCATCCACACGCAATCAGTTTTCAGAGATATCTCTTACATTTTACTCTCACTTATTCATATCCATGTTGAAATATTCGTTAAGCGTGAGTCTGTGTAAACTAATGTTTAACTGAAGCCTTACCAGGCTTTATTCAGTGTATATAGTATCGTCCTAACTAAGGAGTGAAAAAAAAAACTTTTTCTAATAACGTCACACTCCGGCTTTTCACATTTTTTTTTTGTAATTTTTTTCATTGGTTTACAAACTTTCTACAGTACTTAGTAGTTGTGATTTATTTTCAGCTGGTTCTTGTTTTATGTAATTGTTTCCACGTGGTTGTCTCTTTGTGATTATGTTGTGTAACAAACGAATTGATGTTTCAACACTATATTACGGCCACTCACAGTTACTAGTTGATTAGATTTCGATCACGTATTTGTTTGTCAGTCCAAAACCCATACTCAAATATTTGTTCCGTTGGAAACCTTATTTCAAACAGTTGCGCATTTTGTAGTCTATTCGAAGATAAAATACGTTAGAAAAAAAAAAAGTTGGAAACATATTGAAATATCTGGATCTTCTTTTTAATATTAATATTTATTCAAAGTTGAGCACTGAAAAATGTTTTCCTAATCCTTGATTGTTTTTCAACTCTTTACGTATATGTAAAAGAGCGAGAAAGAAGAATACACACACACATATATATATATATATGACTTAATAATGCATAATATATTTGTATAGTTACCGTGCAATTTACCATATTATGTATATAGTCAAACAAATGGATATTATACTATTGCTTTTGCACTATTTCAGAACAAAATTTAGGTTTCAAGTAAATTTGTAGAATTTATTGTACATATAAAAATATAAAGTGTCATCAAATTCTGTAATTCGGCTGTATTTTATTCAACACAAAAATAAAAACAAACCTCTTTATGTAACTTTTAGTGTGTGCGTCATACAAATGTACTGTGATACAAGAATAGGCTTTAGAGCTTGACATTATCGTGGTCTCCAAAAGGTAGAATAACACCTCAGGATAGACAATCAATGAGACAAGATTAGGCTCGCCAGCCTTTACAGAAATCTTCCTCAGGAACTGTAAACTAAAGTAATCAACACGTGATTCACGGTTTGTGTGAAACTGATTAAACAGTAGCCTGATTTGAACACCTCGCAAAGAAACGTTGTAAATACGAAACACAAAACAGCGCAGCGTTGACATTTCATGTAACGGTGACCGGATCATCGCTCTCCAACAAGGCGGAAATGAGATTCGCCTGGTAGTCTTTAATTGGATAGGGACAAAGGAATACTTGATGTATATAAGGTCGTTTCAACATATCACAAGACAGATCAGCGCTGTTTGTAGCTCCAGTACATAGTGTACTCCATTTCAAAGGAAAAATAACAAGCTCCAACAACTTTTTTTTTTGTTACCAAACTGTAAAAAAAAATCATAAACCCTTATATACTAAATCATAGGCATGCAATCTTTTAATTCACTTTTATTGTAAGCGTTGACTTATCAAACTTTATATATTTCAAAAACATTGTTTGTTTGGTGGTTCTTTAGAACCATTTTTCACACCATAAACTTAAACTGTAAAAGGATAAGTAACAGAAACTATACATTTGTTACCGTGTAAAGAGTTATTCTATTTAAGGGATATAATAACAGCTTATCTAGTTGTTCATTTATCCGTAATTATTAATGTACAATCAACTGATATTAAGCAGTTAATCTTCAAAGTATCTGCAAAATGTAGATTCCGGAAATGGTAAGGAAAAATAAAGTGATTACAACGAAGACAGGAAATACACACGAAGGAAAATTTTTGCCACATCATAAACGTTTGTGGTATTCAGGTATACTGATATCAAGCACTTAATTTTCAAAGTATCCGCGAAATGCATATTACGGAAACGGTAAGGAAAAAATAAAGTTATTACAGAGAAGACAGGAAACACATACGAGAGAAAAATAAACAAAATCTTTATTCACAGTGTGATATGCAGACATGTCAGAGGTTTTCTACTTGCTTTTAATTATAAAGGACTTAAACGCTTTTGTTCATTTAATTTATATGCAGTTTTAGCATAAACATTTGGTCCAGAAAGTCCTTGAGGTTGCCTTGTTGTAGTTGATTCAATTCTTTTTTTCTCCTTAGTAGATAATGTCTACTCTGCCTGAAAAGATGTGACAGTAGCATATAGTATCCGTGTTGAAAGGAGTAACACCCGTGATATCCTTTACTCGCCGAACTTACAATGAACGTATGTTACAGCCAATCAATGTTGTGAAAGAAGAACGGGAACGAGGTGATGCTGACACCCACCAACCTCTTGGGCCAATGATGAATTAAAATCATAGACATAGCTTTCTCCATTACTGGTGAAAGCTCTGGATCTAAGAGAGTTCTTAGACATTTTCAGACTACGTTCTTTCTTGAACTATAGTCTCCTTCTCTCTGCTGCCAGTTATGCATGATCTCAGAAAGTTTCTTTCCATGATCATGATTATCGAATGTTGTAAGCACCAGACAGTCAAACAGAAAATAGAAGCATATTTAAAATAGGCTTTGATATAACAAATTATTTGGTCATTGTACCAAAGTTTTACATTTTAATTTGTCTACCTGAGTGAAGGAAGTTGTCTCTAATCTGTCTTCAAACGCTGGTATCATAGGAATTGGTGTACTGCAGAAATTGTCAACCAGTTTTGCTTGTGCAACAGGCAAAGTGTAGTTCTGCAATAAAACCATCCGCTCCAGGCAGTATTGGGGTCATGGAACAATGGAATGTGTGCATGCAAATTAAAAGGATATGACAATTTCCCCTAATGTCCAAGAAGTATTCTGTAATGTGCTTCAGATTTAGTTTAGTATATTGAGTGAGTCTGGTGTAGTGAGAGAGTTGACAAATGAAACACGCTGTTTACTGTTTAGTAATAATATTTATCTTTCTTGAATAGTGATTTGTCTATGTATGGGTGTTGTACTAGTGCTAGCTACAACTGACTTTTGGGTAATCAACTTCTGGGTAGAATGTTCGTAAGGGTGGTATGGTAACAGAGGCAGAAGTGAAACAAACTAGCCAAGTAGCTAGTGTTGCAGCTACTGTATTATATCTGAGAGCAAACACACAACTTCCAGAGCACCTGAAGTCTCTAGCTAAAAATTATGCAAACAATTTGACCTCAAC